GGAGCCAGCAGCAGTTTTGGTTGATGGAAGTGCATACAGACTTCGGAGTCCCTAGTCTGAGCGTCGATGCCGAATCGTAGTGAAGGCTCTTCAGCGCATTCATGTTGGGCACATCAAGTTTCTTGAACCGAAGTTCCTCAGTACCACACCGCAGTCTCCCTTTGTAGATCAAAGTGTTGCTGAGAGTCATGATATCCTCGCACATACGGTATTGGTGCTCCAAGTTGACCACCGAATCCGGATGGGTGTCGGAGAGAAGCTTGAACAAGCTCACATCAAGCCCGCCTTCTCGGGCCTCTTCATTTTGGACTAGAGGAGGAAGCTGATTGTGATCACCAACAAGTACAAACGTCTTCGCCATCCTGATTGGTCCAAGACAAATAGGCAGCGTGATTTGAGAGGCCTCATCAACAATGCAGTAGTCGAAGGTGCGTTCGTTGAAAAGAGCATGGCCAACGCCGAGACAAGTGGTGGCAACGATGGGCGTGTCGTGCCACGCCTCCTTAATCTGCTCAAAAGAGTTCATAGGTTGACCAGCTAGGATAGCAAATTGCTGGACTTCCGGGTGGACCTTAGCTGGAGCGCCAAGTCTGAGAACCGGGGTTTGGTCATTCTTTAGCTTCAGGAGAATGTTGTCGACTGCAGTGTGTGTGTAAGAAGTAAGAAGGACGCTTTTGCCCTGAGAGACCAAAGCCCGAATGATGTGTGCAATGGTGGTCGTTTTCCCCGTGCCAGGCATGCCAAGAACTAGCGCATAGTCTTGTGCACTCATCACCTTCTCGATCGCTCGATGCTGGTCGACATTCAGAGATTCCCGATCGGCTACAACGTATTGCGTGGGTGCTGCTTTGAATCTCGGGGGTACCAAATCCACCACAGCGCGGCGGATCTCTCGAGACCCGAAGACGCCTTCCGCCATGATCTGTACAAGGTTGTTTCGGACTGTGGCCATGCCATTGCTGAACTCGTCCTTATCAAGACGATAGCGGATTGGCGCTTCTTTGATCTTGCCCTGAGATTGATCCGCGGTGCAGCCCTCAGGGGCGACCTCCATGATGCTAGCAAAAACCTGGTTGTCGTTTTCGTCAAAGCCAGGCTGTTTGATGCGAGCGTTGTGTAGGCGTCGGTCGACTGCTACGCTGATTCTCTGTTTTCGAACAGAAGTAACGTAGCCCAAGGCGAGAGCAAAGTGGCCCTGTTCATCGGAAACAACTATAGGTTCTCCAACATTCAACTGTGACTCTAGGAAAGAATGGCCTGGAGTTGCAATTCGCTTCACGAACGTGTAGTTGAACCGGTTGATCTTGGAGGTGCCCAAGTCCTCAGACGTTGAGCCCTCTTCAATGATGACGTCGGAATGGCATCTTCCCACTTTCTCTCGGTCCTTGCTGACCATCGTCCAGAGTTCTCTCTTCAGCTTCTGTGTCTCTTTCTCCTCTTTCGTCAACAGATTCTCCCATTTGAGGAAGAACTTTTGGTGCTTTGGCGTAAGGTGCTTGACAACCTCGTCGAATTGCTTGTCCATGCCACTCGTCTCTCCATCGCCGTCGTCGGCGAGCTTGTGGTAAATGAAGCAAGACGTCTTCGCATAGCACTTTCCACACATGTTCTTGCTCCTCTTCATAGGAGGCAGCTGAACACTCCGCTCTCGAATGTGACAAGCTAGTTGATTTCGCTGCATGATCATATGGCGTAGCTCGTGTCGGATGGTGGGAATGCGCATTGTTTGCGACGTTTCCATGTAGTAGAGAATGCCATAAACGATGTTCAAATCGTAACGATCGGAAAGCAACAGGTTATAGAGCGCAGTCTGCGCCATGTGATTGCTGTTGGCATGTTTGCCCGTTTTGACTTCGAATGGGACTGTCAGCGTTTTGGTATCCTTGCCGTCCTGCAAAGTGATTTGAACGGTAGCATCGATGTTGCCCTTCAGTCCGTACATGGGCGACCAAACATGTTCCTCGACATCGAGCAGTTTGCTGACGCACATGTTGGCTTTCTTGCCATTGCGGTCGAGGACAACAGCATCGACCTTTTGCTAAAATTAGCGACTATCAGGAGAGAGAAGAAGATATGACATACATTCGGCTGAGAGGCTACAAAAGCCGTGGCCCAGCAGCTCAACTCCGTCATCTTCGACTGGAGATGTTCCCTAGCGATGCTGGTGCTGACTTTGATCTTGTACAAGTCCTCAATGTGCTTCTCCATGACTCTGTCAATGACACCACTGAGGTACCGAAGGTCCCATTGATTCGCCATCAGAGCCTCTTGAAAGATTTCATGCAACATCGTTCCGTACACCAAGGGAGCAGTAGCCTCGCTAGTCGCTTTGACGCGGTCCTGTAGTACTGCTCGGCGCATGCAGCTAAATGAATCAGCCACGACGGTAGCCGATACCAACTGATCAGGGTGTAGGATCAAGATATTGTGAGAATCATCAATGATGCATTGTCCACTGACTGAAAACGTTCCGATAACATGCACATATGCCTTTGCGTGTGCCGGCGTCTCGAACCAATCACCTCGAAGGTGGATCGTTTTCATGGCCTTGCTACCTTCCGCTTGAATGATGAGAATCTGGCCACACGTCAGCGATTGTTGTTGGATCAACTTGACCAACCTACCTTCTCTAATCGAGAAAGCCCGCGCTCGTCAGTGTATTCGTTTTCTAGGACATTGGTCACCAGATATCGCTGGATAGCTTTGGGCTTTTGGTTTGTCTACCTTCATCTTAGCGTTTGCTACCGTGGTAGTCGTTGATTGGGACGTACAGCTTCCGCCGGCGAGGCTTGTGGCTTCTGGACCGATTGAGTCGCAGCGAGCTCTGCCGCATCGAAGTCGAAGTCTCCTCCAAAGTCGTCTCCAAAGGCATCGTCCAAGTCGTCTTGTCTAGGGACAGGTACACTTGTTGCGTCAAGATGCGTTTTTGCAGACGCCGGCAATTGGGAGGCCGTCGCTACTGCGCTTTCCAAAATATCCTCGGCAGCCTCGAAAATATCATCGTCCAAGTCACCGAACTCGTCATCCAAGCCAGTGCTGCTCTGCTTGGTGGGTTGCACAGAAACAGGTGCGGGAGTAGGAGTGCTTGGCCTCGCCTCTTGTTTGGAGTTTGATAGACTGATGCTTGCTTCGAGCTCGAGGAAGGTGTCGTCATCAAACTCGTCAAAGTCGAAGTCAACGTCTCCGTATTCAGACTCCGCCGAAGCCGCTTTCGTTTGCCGTTCCAGACCTAGATCCTGGGCGACACCGATATCAGAAGTATTTTCCGCAGGCTGTAGGTTCGGGGCTCGGGTTGTTTTCCTCGACGGTGAGAGCGATGTCGGCCTCGATGCGTTGGTTTTTCTCTTCTTAAGAGACGGGGACTCCATGTCCTGGTCGATGAATGGATCGAAATCATCTGGTGGGCTATCTTCTTGCATGCTTCCCGTAACAGTGTCCAGCAGAGCTGTTACGAGTGAGTTCTTTGAACTATCGGTCGTCTCCCGCGTCAATGTGCTAGTAAACGAGGGCGCATCCGAGCGTTCAACTCTTCTCCTCTTTGGCCAGTTGAGGCCGCAACTGATTGCTCTTCGTAGGCTGCTGTCACCTGCCTGTGCAGGTGCCGTCTTGAAATTCCGTGGTGATGAAGAGAACATGAGATTGGCGAGCGTGGGGTTCGTAAGACCGAGTGGCGTAACAATTCCATTGCTGCTCAGGGAGAATCGATCCCAGAGTTCCAAGGTCGGGTCTGCATGTGGCGATTTCAATGCCTCACTGAGCTTCTTCACATTGACAGCAGGCGTGGTAGGCTTTTCGTTTTGTGCGGGGGATGATATGGGCGACGAGCTCCTGGCCCGTTTACGGCCTTTCCTATGCATCATTGGCGAAAGGGCAGCAGCGTAGTTCAAGTCGTTCTTGTCCCTCTCATTGTTCCACAGGATTCGTTCGGTAGGAGATGTTTGTGTTTTTTCTTCCTTGGGAGCGTTCGACGCCATCAGGTCGTGCCAGCTCAGCTTCGTCGATGGGGTGATAGCGATATCGTCTCGGGATTGGCAAACCCAATCTTCCGTTGCGGTGCCATTTTCCTGCACGGCAGTCTCTGCCTTGGCTCCAGTCTGGAATTGGAATTGATTTAGCTTGTTTTTCGTTTTGTCGGAGACGGGTGCCAAAGGTCGAGATGTTTGGGCATTCACTGGATTGCTCTTCGAACGTTGCCACGAGCGGTTCTGTAACAAAGTCAGCAAATATCGTATGGAGGGGTATGCTTTCCTATTAACCTTCGATGGGAGACCAACGTGTTCCGAGTATGACTTCTTGAGAGGCATATCGGCGGGTTCGGCTTCTCGAGTGCCAAAAACAAGAGATCGTGAACGTCGTCGCTAGTTCCAATCATGTCAGCGCAAGGGTGTGAAGAGGCAGTTGGGGCCCCTCAGGAAGTGCTAGAGTGGTTGTCCCTCGACGCGCTTGGGACGCGTTCTAGCTCCACGTTTGTTTAATACGCGTCGATGCACGTTCCCGGTAATATGTGGGTCATCTAGGGACCTGGCGGTGGACGCGCAGGGCCATCGCCCCTGCAACGAACAAGTCCATCTCCGCCCACATCGACTTTGCACCTTGGGCAAGCGCAATTGAACTCACTGCGGAATGTCTTGCATTCGCATGTTGTGTGGAGCGGAAGGCAATGTCCCTGTCCGTGTATTTATACCTGAATTTTACAGTTGTAATTGCTTCGTCTCCAGTAGTATCCTGGCTAACGTTGAGGTTAGTACTTACTCAATGTTCCCATTCATCCCCGTGGTACATTCGTGTTGGACTGACTGGACTGTCAAATACTTAGACTACCAACTACACATGGTACATTCCTTTACACAACCACAGTGAATCAAGTGCAGAGGCGGCCTGGCCATCTTCTCTCCTTTTTATCCTGAAGGTCTATCATCTCTTGCTAGATACTGCAAGCATCGACTGTGTTGATGTCCCTCTTCGTTTCGGTTGATACAGAGTATCATACGAGAAGGGGAATGCCCAATGACCAGATTTGGCGATACACCGGTGACACGGAATGGCGATACAGCGCGTGCTCCGACGTCCCGAAGTCGACATGGAGAAACTCTCTGCCGATAGCCCGGGAAGCTCGGGGTGTTGTCTCCACTCTGCCGATGCAGGTGTGGATCCACTAGAGCTCCAACTGCCCACCTGAGAGCTCTGGCCGACTACGTCAGGACTCTCAAGAACACCAACAGGTGAGCCGCCTCTAGAAGGTTGACCATACCATACCTCCACGAACCTCAGCAATCGATCTGACGCCAACTCGGTAGCTCGACTCTCTCCGGCCTTTCATAGCTTCGCCTCGTATCTGTCGGGTCACTTGAGACCTGGCTGTGAAGCCAATGAGATGGCGTTCCCCAACTCCAGCGACGACAATGGCTACGACCTAGACATCGTCGGGTCCCCGGAATACCAGATTCCACCGCCGCAGCTCACACTCCTGCAGCGCCTACTCTTCCGCAATCCCGATAACTACTCTAACAATGTGAAAGCGATGCTCGACACCGCTGCAGCAGGCATGGGCCGCCAACCCACCCAGGATGAGGTCAACGTCCTCAGCCAACTAGCCTACAAAGAAGCCGCAACCGCGGCATGGACTGTCCCCGTCACCGTTGCGTTGGCCGGCTTCTTGACATGGCAAACCCGCGGCACCTACCGCTTCCCTTTTTGGCAACCCAACTTTATCAAATTCACTCCCGATGCCTTTCCAAGTGCCTCTAGGCCGCTTCTCCAGGGTCGTCTGGCGAATCGCGCATGGCACAATACAAGATTCACGGCCTACTTCCTCCTCACCAGTCTCGGCATCGCTCCTTTTGTCGCCTCATATGCCACTTCAGTGGCCATGGCATCCGCCGCTCGAGATGAGCGCCTCAACCAGTTCCGCAAGGACATGAAGCCGGAGAGGCTGGTCCAGATGACGGCCGACAAAATGCCAGTCACCGCCTTGAAGCGCCAGCGCCACCGGACTGCGGAAGCCATCAGCCAACTCGAAAAGTCGCTGGCCGCGTTGCCCCAGTCGGATGAAAAGATCAGGGAAACAACTCCGCTCATACAGAAAAGGATTGATGAGTATCGCAAGATACTGGCCCACATTGATGCAATCCTCGAGAGGAGGGGCGAAGGCAGCGCTGGGGACGACGGGTCAGCGCAGAACAGGGACTACGAGACACTCTCTGCTTCGAGCTCTACGGGAGGGTACAGTTTACCCTCGGAATCCAACTACTCTTCTCCGACAAGCTACTCGAGAGATCCGCCATCTTCCGAGGGCCGATCAGGATGGGGCTCGGGCCAGCAGAGCTCTCCCCAGCGAAGCAGCAGCAGATCCTCAGACGACTTGGACTATGATGATGCATCACCTCTTTCGCCCGCCGCGAGAGCCCAGTCATCATCACCCTCTAGCACCGGCTCAGCGTGGGATCGCCTGCGGCAAGCCTCGAGACAGCCTCCGCGAGCTTCTGGGAATGCCAACCAGAGCCAACAGGAAGAGGCTAAGGGTGCCGATTACTATGCGTACGATGCCGCTGAAAAGGAGAGGAATGCGGAGAAGGATAAGGCCCAGGCCGAGTTTGACGCAATGCTCGAGCGGGAAAGAAGAGGTAACGCGGGGCAGGGCAGTGAGCGGAATAGCCGATGGTGATGTGTACTTCTGTCACATGTAATGACACGTTATCTACGGTCGAGATTGTAGAGTGATTGTTGTAAGGTCATGCTTGTGTATACCTGTGTGAATATAAGCGTACTCCAACCTGTATCATTTCCTCAGCTTCCCTCAGGCCGCAAGTTTGCCAGAGGGAGGAGAGGCATACAATTGATCCATAAACGTCGAATTGTCACCAAGGTCCATGGCGTAGCGGGGAATGTCCTCGTTTGAATTGCCCCGCTCCCATGGGTCACGAGTTCGACTCTCGTGAAAAATCGCCAGCACCGATACAGCTGAGGAATAGTACGTAAGGAGTGAGCCTGGTGATTTTCGCAGGCCCCCCGTGAGGGGGGTTGAGCTTTTGCATTCTTATCCTTCTTTCTATATGAATTACGTACTTTTTTCCTTCCTCCACTGATTCTTTCATTGATTGCAATAATATAATCCCCCTTCCGCGCGATGGTCGAGGTGGGAGGAGAGAAGCGGGTATGGGGGATGGGGGATGCGGTAGGGCGGCGATGCGGCGTGGTAACTGGAGATACGTATTAAATAAGAGAACAATTATTTTAGACGACAACGAAGTTTCTGCGGCGAATGCCATGAAGCGATTGATGCTTGGTGATCATTGCATATCTATGTAGATTTAACTGTATTCTAAACTCTGTCCGAGTCCTATGTACGGCCCGGTCGTATCAAGACTATGCGGGTATTTTTTCCCTTCGACTATGGCTAATCCTTTTCCCCCTAACTTTTCCCTTCTCCATGTCTTTTCACTAATCCTTTGTTCTCGACTATCAAAACTCCCCGAAATCTGTCTTTCTATTTTTCCAACCCTCAAAACGTAAAATGCGTCGGCCGCCAAAAGCTCGAATCCCATCGATGCCACGCCGCCGTCTTGGGCGGCGTCTTACTCCACCACTCCCGGAACTGCGGCGCGCCAACCTCGTCCCCGAACCGCTGCGCAAGCCTCGGCATAAAGGTACTCATCGACATCCCCGGCGTCAGCAACCCATCTTCCGTCTCAGCAAAGCTGAAATGCGACGCCCGCGCCCTCCAGCCCCTCTTCTCCGCCGCCGCCGCCACGGAGGCCGCGACCTCGTCTTGCTCCGCCTCCCCCGGGACGGTGGTAGCAAACTCGGCCACGGCGCCCGCGAGCCCGACGTAAAACGAGTCCGACGCGTCCGACGCCTTCGCCAGAGAGAAAACCCGGCTCGTCGACGACCGGGCTGCGTCCCGGAAGGGCATCACGTGGAAGCGGTAGTTGGGACGGTAGTAATCCCTCCTGGAGTACTCGTGCCAGACGCATGCCCTCCCGCGCGGGTGATCGCACCCGACGCCGCGCATGCTCAGGGAGCGGCTGCTAGTGCCCCTGAGAGGATCCGGGAACGGCGTGCCGGACCAGCACGGCAGGGCGGCGGAGTGGTGGTAGGATTTAGACCACCGGAAGTCGAATACTTTGAGGGCCTCGAGCTCGTTGCTGCCCGCAACGAAGTGGTCCGAGCCGTAGGTCAGGAGGGACGAGTGCGTCTCGAAGGGCTGGTACATGTCGCGGTAGAGGACGTCGTAGGGAGACGGGGTGCGGATGTCGAGGAGGCGGATGGTGCCGTCGTCCCAGGCGCTGAGGAGGAGGTTCGTGTGGCCTGCGCCTGCCGGGCCCGGGTTGATTGGTTGGATGGCGCGGACCGTCTGTTTCTTTTCCGTGTCGATGCCGCGGGAGGCGAGGAGGGAGTGGTTCTTAGAAGCGAGGTTGGGGGTGAAGCCTGAGGGGGTGACGGTGAGGTAGCGGATCGGATCCGTGTCGTTGGAGAGGGCGCAGACGATGGTGTCGTTGTTGAGGGCCTTTGCGGAGTGAACGAACTGCTTCCTGTCGCCCTGGCCTGGAACGTTAAAGGTCTGCGAGTCGAGCGGGAGGGCGGCGGCGGCGGCGGCGGTCTCATCTGCGTCCAAGGAGAAGAGACTGACGGTGGCGCGGTTGCCCGCGATCACTGAAGTCTGGTTCGGTAAGGTGTCAATGGACCCGATAGACGTCCACGTGGTAGCCTCGAGACCTCCAGTGGGCGTGGGAATCTTGTAGGTCGAGAGAGCCTTGCCGGCGCTACCAGGGGTCGCTGAGACGAGCTGCAAATCTCCATTCGCCCTGCCGACGAGGATACCCAGCTTCCCATTGGGCTCGGTCAGGTGGATGGCAGTGACGTCGCCCACGCCCGCTTCGTAGCCGTTCGTCTTGCCCCCCATACGGAACCAGGCGTCGGACTCGCCGCGACTGTTGTGAGGCCTGAAGCGGCCCACGACGTCCTCGCCAGCGCCCCACGTGGCAAGCTCCCAGCTCTTGTCAAAGACGAGGCGAGCATCGATGACGGGGTAGAAGGGACGGCCGGCGTTAGTGAAGCCCGTGAAGTAGTTCCCGTCCTGGCGGCGGTCGTCCGTGTAGGCGGTCGTCTGGAAGGCCTTCATGTCCCATGCGCGGGCCTGGCGGGTGAGGGTGTTTGCCAGCTCATCCCATTTGGGCGGAGTCTTGCCTAGTGGCAGGGAGTGTAGGGGAAAGCAGGTCCTGACGAAGGTGCGCCAGCCGTCCTCGTTGAGGAGGGAGTGCAGATGCTTACACGACGATGCCAGGCGGGCTACATCGCGTGCGGTTCTGAGATGGGAGACGATCTCCAAGACGATGTCGTCTGGGAGTTGGTCAAACATTTCTTCTTTGGTTTTCAAGAGTCTCTTCTGAGGACTCTATTTATTTGGTTTGATGTTTGGTATCTGAGTGACATGGAGTGTAAGGGGAATGCCAATTGAGATACGATGAGAGGGGGATAGGCTCGGAGAGAAGGGGGCTTGGTGTTGAGATATCCGTACTGACGAGTGAGATGTGTATGTGATGGATGTGGAAAGTGGCAAGGGAGTTGACAAAGTCTTCTAGCTAAGGTTGTGTGGGTAATTCCGTGAAGCAACTTGTACAAGAAACCTAGTTCCAGACCATGTGTTCTTCTTGTATAAATATATCAAAAGTCTTTCATCAAATCCCGGGGACGGCAACAATCGAAAGGCATTGAAAGTGTTGTAAGAAATTAGTTGACGTTGAAGTTGTCAAACAAAGTACAAAAGAGTCACAATGACCAGGCACCGTGCAGTGGCAGCCTGGAGTCAGGCCCAGTTAGGATTGGTCGGGTTTGTCTATGACACCACAGAGGCCCCCGGTAGTTGCATGTAAAGCGGCTACGGCAACTGTAAGCTCAGGGCGTGGCTTTAAGGCAGATGGCCAGTCTGCTCACACCCCATGGGTAGGTGATGGATGCGTGTACGTACCTTGGGCCTGGTCCGAGTTCATGAGACACCAAGTGACAAATGCAGTTGACCCCGCTGTTAGTGCAGGTCAATGACAACTCAGAGCAATTCCCAGGATAACACTGGCGAGGGAAGTGATAAGCTCGACGATAACAACCACTTTGACTTCCTCTAGACTGGCTATGAGTCGGGCATAGGGCGTACTTGTCACTCGAGGCGCAGTTGCCGGATTTTCGAGTGATTGCTACTATTTGTTTTATATTCGGGCTTGACCAACCTCAACACCTTGTCTCAATAGACGAAGGAGTCTAACTTGTTGACTTACACGAAAACCCCGGAGCTAGATCGCCGAATCGCACAGGAAATCAACTCACCCTTTGAATATATGAGTTAAAACATACCAGCAAGCTTCACTTACCAACATGGGCTTCAACTTGGTTCCCGTCGCAATTGCAAGCGCAGCAGCATGGCTACTCTACACCCTCATCCTACAACCACTCTTCCTCTCTCCCCTGTCCAAGATCCCGGCTCCACACTGGTCATGTCACATCTCCCCCCTCTGGATCTTATATACGCGGAAATCCAACCGCCAAAACCGTACGCTTCACAGAGCACACCTCAAGCTCGGTCCCGTCGTGCGCATCGGGCCCAACGAGCTCAGCGTCGACGGCTACGATGCCCTCAAGACGGTGTACCAGGGCGGCTTCGAGAAGGACCAGTGGTACTCCATCTTTAACAACTACGGGTGAGTCTACTTACCGGCGATCATGGGATATCTCAGTCACAAGAGAGAGCTTTCTGTTGCTAAACTACGTTCATAGCGTCCCAAACATGTTCTCGACACTCGCCTCAAAACCTCACTCCCTCCGCAAACGCATGGTCTCAAACGCCTACGCCAAATCCTTCATCCACGCCTCGGAACCCGCCAAAGCCCAAGCCCGCGCCATCCTTTTCGGCCGTCTCCTCCCCTTACTCTCCGCCTCATCATCCAGACACACCAAGAGCACCAGCACCGACATCGACACCGGCAGCAGTGGCACCAGCAACCCCGGACCCTCCCCCGGCGCCGGCATCGACGTCTTCTCCACCTTCCTCGCCTCCACAATGGACTTCATCACAGCCTATACCTTTGGCCTCCGCAACAGCACAGATTTCCTCCGCCAAAAGGCCTGCAGGGACCACTGGCTCCAACTCTACCTCGCGCGCGCGAGCCACGGCTTCTGGCCGCAGGAGACCCCGCGGCTGAACGCGCTCGTTACCCGGCTGGGGATGGGGCTGTGGAAGCTGTACCCGTCGTGGGTGGACGACGCCAACGCCGAGATTTGGGCTTGGAACTGGCGGCTCTGCGAGGGGGCGAGGGAGTACGTTCGTGGTAATCAGAAGGAGGGGCGAACTGCTGCTGCAGAAAAAGAAAAAGGTCAAGAAGACAAAAGAGACGTAGCGGACGAACCGGTCGTCCTCTGCGCAATGGAAGCCGGCATCGAAAAAGAGCGCCGCGTAAACGGGCAAGACTCCATCCTCTACCCGACGACAATCCTCCAAAAGAATGAATCAGTCGCCTCCGAAATCCTAGACCAGGTCCTAGCAGGCCAAGAGACGGCGGGGATAGCACTCACCTACCTCGCCTGGCACCTCTCCCGATCCCCAGGCCTCCAAAAGTCTCTCCGCCAAGAACTCCTCACCCTCTCACCAGACCTCAAAATGCCAACAAACGCAACAGAAACAAACGCAGCTTCTTTACCCGGCTCCCTCCCCGACCCGAAACACGTCGACGCCCTCCCCATCCTCCACGCCGTAATAATGGAGACCCTCCGCCTCCACGCCCCGATCCCCGGCCCGGAACCCCGCCAGACCCCGCACTCACACCCGCCCTGCCGCCTCGGCGACTTCCACGTCCCCGGCGGCGTCCGCGTCGCGGCGCTGGGGTACACCCTCCACCGCAACGCAGCCGTCTTCCCGGACCCGGAAGTCTGGGACCACACCCGCTGGCTCGCGTGGAACACGAGTGAGGCGCAGCGGAGGGAGATGTTGCGGTATTTCTGGGCTTTCGGGAGCGGGGGAAGGATGTGCGTTGGGTCGAATTTTGCAATGAATGGTGAGCCTTCCCGTCATGTCTGGTCAAACTCATCTTCTTGTGCCAGAGAGTTCTGCCTTTACTGACTTGTTTCGCTACTCTCCAGAGATGAAACTCATAGCCGCAGCAATCTGGACGAATTTCACGACGCATGTGGTTGATGATACGGGTATCGAGCAGGATGATACATACACGGCGCGGCCCGTAGGCGAGCGCTTGATTCTACGATTTGAACATGTAGAGTAAGAAAATTGTGGGAGCGGTGGTTTAACATCTAATGACATGCTTCAGAATCGCTGGCTGATTCGGAGGGAGCACCAATGGAAAGAGGGTTTTGGAAAGTAAAAAGGTCCAGCTTTCCTGGTGGTGACCTCCCCGAGTCGCTTATATCGTTGTTCATATGTAGGGAGGGCTGGTATGTTCCCAAGGTGAGTTATTTTCCTCTCGAGAGCGCTTTGAAAAACACCAGTATCCCGTCTCTGGACACCAGTCACGAATCAACGCAGACGTGAACCTGTACCTGGCCTTAGCTGAAGAGCCAACGGCTGGATGTATACTGTAGTTGTTCATAAACCAACTCCATGTCGCGGGAAATCGTTTATACATTCCATCAAGCGCAACGATTTCGTCAGGGATAAGTAGTCACAGGGGCAATGCCGCGGCATTTGAAAAAGAAACAATGTAAAGTAACAACCGAATCGAATTATTCTCTATTTTCTATGCTAGATATAGGTTATTAGCTTAGTTCAGATCTCGCAGGTTCAGCAACAAGGCAAACATCTCTCAGAGTCAGCACTCCCCTCATAGCCTACAATCACAAGCATGCAAACTACGTCGTCATACCACACGTACAAATGTACTCACCCTCTACAACATGGCCTTTTTTCCACACGAGGCACTTAGAGGTGTGCAAGGCAGTGCCTCATCACATGTGCCGGCCATGCTGTTCTTCATATCAGGAGCTGCGCTTAGTCTTACATCATTACCTTGGGGAACACTTGACAAAATCACGCACCAGGCTATGTATGCGATCATCCACAAGCCGACGCGGAAGGCGAGGCTGTCCTTCCATCGGAAAGAGACAACAAACGCAGTATCAAATTGCTACCTATTCAACAAATCGCTGCAAAGTCATACGGCAAAGTTAGGGAACGTGAAAGTATAGTTGGATGACCCGAAAACCATCAAACCGAAAAAAAAACTGTACGCCAACAGAATGTCGGTCTAGTGCTGTTTTTTTTGCGTCATAACACACCAATCACTCACTCTCGTACCGGCCACTCTGCAACATTTTATGCCGCTTCGCCTCCGGTTTGCTTCACATTAACAGGCTCGACGTCGGCACCCTTCTCGAGAGTCGCCTCGACCACAGGCTCGCCAGCAGTATTAGCCGCCAGGGTCTTCACGACCTCCTTCGGCGCCTCAGCCCCATCTTCAGCTTCCACAGGCTTAGGAACCTCAGCCTCGGCCACTCCCGCAGTCTCTGCAGCAGGTTCCGTAGTGGCGGGCACCTCGGGTGCTTCCGTCTTGGCCGAGACTTCAGGCTTGATCTCCTTGGTCTCTGCAGCCGTGCTGGCGACCTCGGGAACCGGCTCCTTGGTGGGTTCTTCTTTGGAACCGTCGTCGACCTCTAGAACACCGCTATCGCCAATGCTCCAGCAGATTCTGAGAGGAGAGAATGAGAGTGTAGGTCCGGACTTGGCCTCAACAGCTGCGGGAGCTGGGCTCTTCGCCGCCGGAGCCCTACGCTGGGGACCACGAGCACGACCTTTCCTAGCATCAGCGAGGGGCGCCTTCTCCTTCTCCTCAGCAACATCCGCCGCGGGGGGTTCTTCCTTCTTCGGAGCTGTAGGTCCCAACTGAAGGCGCTTGTTAAGGTCAGACAAGAAACCGGCCTGGAGCGCTGCGATCTTGCCTCCGGCAGGTTTGCCAGGAATAGCTGGCTTCTGCTTGGGAGCAGAGTCTTGCTCCTTGGAGTCGACGCCGGAAGGAAGGGTCTTGGTAGGGCGAGCAGGAATTTGAGGTTTTGACTTCTCCGAGACAGCCGGCTTAGCCTTATCCTCACTTGTCGAGTTCTGTTTTCTTGGCCGCTCAGGAATGGAAGGTGGTTCTGCGGTAGCGCTCGATTGTGAACCCTTCTTCTGCGGGCGTGCTGGCACAAACGGCTTTTCTACCGGGGACTCATCCTTTGGCTCAGGTGTGTCCACGATAGCCTCGTGCATGGCGCTTTCTGGCGTATCCTCCCAGACGTCGCGACTGGGAAACCGGTTCGACATGGTCGGGCGAGCGTCTTCCTTGGCCTTCTGGAGAGCGGCAGGCACTGGCTTCATCTGCTTTGCATCTACCCCACGGCCTTCCTGCTCTGCGAGTTCTTCTTGTCTGCGGGCAAACTCCAAGGCGGGGTTTTCTGTGGGAAGTTCGGAACGGCGTCTGGAGGAAGGTCGTTCTGATTCTGTGGGCTCCGGGGTCGAAACTTCGGCGGTATAGTTGACGCTGTCGGGGGCGTCCTCCCAGACGTCCTTGCTTGGGAACTTGTGACGAGGCTTCGAGCTGGCTGCCTCGGCCTCAGACTTCTTGCCCTCCGGGCGCTCCTCGTCGAAGAGTGGCTCGTACTCTTCAACATCCTCAAGTGGGGTGTGTACCAGGTCGGTTTGTGACTGGTTGTTGTTGTAAATACTAGTGGGTCGACTTGTGGGACGGTTCGGCTTCTCCATCTCAAAGGCACTGCCGGAGCGCTCTGGTGGGGGCTCAACAGCGGGCTGGAGGTCATACGGGTGGACGTCTCCTCCAGACTCGTCTTCGGCCAGAATAGGTGCGTTGTACTTGTTCTCGTGTCCAGGGTCGTGCGACACGAAACTCCTGCGGCGGTTGTGAGATTCGTCGACGTGGACGATACCGTCATCGCTTCCGGTCGCATTGTCCGGAGAAGACACAGAAACCTGAGGATGAGAATCCTTCGAGGGACTTTGAGGAGACTTGATGCGCTGAAGTTCAGGGGAGGAGATGCGAGAGGTGTACTCTGCAGAAGCCTGGTATCCAACTTCCTCGCTGGGGGTGCCAACATATGAAGCGGAGGTTCCTGTTCAAGTTAGTGGCTGCCTCTATACTCGTGGAATTATGTTTGCACGACTTACCCATGCCAGAACCACGGCTGTGGGTCTCCTTGACAATCTTGTTCAGATCCGTGCTGCTCATGGCGTAGTCGTTTTGGCGGTCGTGGAGAGAAGGTTTGCAGTCCTTCTTCAGGAAATCTGGGTGCTTGTCGTACCAGGCCTTCTCAAACTTGTCGGTGGGCAAAGCTGTGCTGTGGCCATGAAGACCGTAGCTGCCAGGAGGGAGCTCGTTGAAACCACGCGAGCTGTGCTTGCGGGAGTGGTTTCGCGGAGTTCCCGACCTGAGGCTCTCGGGGGCAGCGCCAGAACCAGGAGCAGGAGAAGGAGCCTGGACGTCACCCAAGTGGGGGTTCATGGGAACACGCTGGCCAATCTCGGGGATGCCATGCTCCTCATCGCCGTAGGCACTCTCTGACTTTTGAGACAGGGCACTCGAGCTGGCCTTCTTCCTGAGACTGCTGGGCCTGGTGTCGTCACTGCTGGGCTTGCCAATGCCAAAGGAGGCAGCCTTATCCGAATCGGTGCGGGTCACTGCCATAACTCTCTGCTTGGCACTCTGAGCCGGAACAGTGGGCTTAGGAGCGTGAAGCTTCAGATCTTCCGCAGCAAAGCGGGTGTGTTCAGGAGATGAAGGTGCCTTGGGAGGCGGCTTGACAAATCCATCGTTGATGGCATCGTATTCGTTACCCTCCTCACCAACGGAAGGCATAGACACGCTACCGGGGCGGTGATGGATAGGGTCGTGAGAAGAGAGGAAGCCATTGCTCGGCGAGGAACGGGTAGCCTTGGGGCTCTTTGAGAAAGGGCTCTCGTTCAGTGGAGAGGGCGCATATCGATCGGGATTCGGAGAGACGGAGCGGTCGAAACGCTTGATGGGACGAGGAGGGATTTTGGGGAGAGACGAAGTGTTGGTGTTCTCCTCCTTATCCTGACTCCTAGAAGGTCGGGGAGGGATAATCGGTTGTTGTACTGATGCGGTAGACATTTTGACTGTGTGGTTTGTTCGAATACGTAGAAAAGAGAAATACAACGACTTGCAGCCGAGTTGAAGATGATCGGGGGTGCTGCTGGGTGTAGTAGTCGGGGCTGGACGAGCTTTTGATCTAGGCGCGACTAAGAGGGCGCAACAAGTAACAGGGAGCCTAGAGAGCGCGGAAGCTGCAATTAGTACATGGATTTGAGGCGGTGTGTCAAAGCAAAGAGCAGAACGTGCTCCCTTCCCCTTGTTCAGGCGATTGGTGTGTATTCTGTAGCCGCCTTGTTTTCTAGTGTGTGTGGCAGCTGAAGGCGAGATAACAAGACTGGAGAAAGTGGAATAGGGTGAATTTAACAGGCAAAACAAGACAGGCAGGGGCGGGGAGAGAAGACAAGACAAGACAAGACAAGACAAGACAAGACAAGCACCGGATGGGCGACCGGAAGAATGCAGTCTTGCTGGGAACAGCGGGTTTGAGTTTTGACGCTCAATCTTTGTTGATAAGGTAAGTGATTTCCCGATGATAAGACGGTGTCATATCACGAGTAAGGTAAGGTACACGAGGGAGGCTTTTGCACCACAAGCAGGTAAAAGCCTCCAGAGAGCTCCATTACAGGAGACTCGCACACACCGAAAGATGGTGATAGCTGAGTCCGCCCCGGCTGAAAAAGCGCAAGGTGGGCCTGCCTGCCCTGTCCTTCCCCAACACCTGCATCAAGCAGGGCGATGGTTATGGTTTTGGTGGTGGTGTGCTGACAATGTGCAGCAAAGCATTGGACGACCACTTGGAGGAGGAAGAGGAGGGTTGTGTGGGCGGAGGAGTAGGGATACCAGTACGGAGTGGTAGCAGTAAACCAAGCTCAGCAAACCGGGGGAAGGGTTGTTGATTGCCGTATGGTGCGGGAGAGGGAGGGAAGTCCGGTGGGAAACCAACAATGACGAGTGCGGTCTGGCAGGACGGAGTCCACTTACAGCTAAAGGTGAGAGATAAGAGATAAGGTGAATTGAGGTGGTGGGAGTGAGACCCTAAAGAGCTGGGCTATTCCGTGATGCTGTGTGGAATTGGTGTTATCGTAACGCTCGCGAGGTGAAGGGCAAATGGAAGATGGTGAGAGAGTTGATTTGTATGCTGAGTACACACATTGAACAGATGATATGACGAGCAAATCCAGGGGGGGGGCAGCAAGCAGGAGAAAAGTCACCTTGACCCTCGAGCTTTTATATTCTGGCTTGACGAAACCAGCTGGTTCGGTGACGGTGCTGCTGCCCTCTCTCAGCCAGTCACGAGCGACGTATTCCATGGCACAAAAGCAGGGATGCTCGATGCCGGTCCAGCGAGAAAAGCAGAAGAACATGTACACGAGTACCTCGAGTACCTGGCCGTCGAGTTGACGCTGTGCCGGCGATGCGCACTTTGGTGGCACTCTTTGCATTAGAAGCTGCAGGTTTGAGGGCTTGCTGTCATACAGTAAGTCTCTTTCCTATTGGCACAGTACTGAATGATCTGTTTTTGGGGAATCCACAGTACCCCGCCATTTGCCCACTAATGCATCATACGGCACGCTGGAGACTGAGGTGCTCACCTCGAATTGTAGTGTAAGTTGCAATAATCAAAGTCCAAGTCTTTTTTCTTACCTCCCCACGAGGTCGTGTACTTGTACGAAATGTACGAATACCTACGATACCTCCCATCCAGCAAGGTACCTTTTTTCGTCTTCAACGTCAGGGGACGACCTTCCTCTCAACGATACGAACGGCAAGCTATTACCTACCTACCTTACGGACCAGACAAAGCAACATCGCGTCCAGGAAGCAGCTAGCTGATATGAGCAAGAGGTGAGTTGTTCTTTTCTGTTGACTCGCTTTGTTTGCTGTTACTTTCAGACAGGAACACTTCAACCGACTGCTCCAGGGCCATCGGGAAGAAAGTTGACCAGGAAACTCTCCATCATCCCACCCCCAATCGATCGATCGAACCAAGTGTCCTTCCAACCCAGATCCACGTCTACTCTTATTGCAGCTGCCACTCTGAGAGAGGCGTCAGAGGCTCAATTGAGTGTGAAGATCCCAGCACAGGACAGCACCAATTGCGTTCAAACCAGTCTACAGACCTGGTTGAGATTCAACAACTCGCCAAATTCGCCGGCCGTCCGCAAACCCGCTTCCAAGGATTCCGAAGCACTCAACTACAAATAGCACCAAAAGACGGGGAAGGGGAAAACACAAAAAAAGGGCACTGTGACTGTGGATTCCCTCGGCCGTCACCTGCCAACGCCTCGACCAGATCAAACGTGCTCTGCTTCCCATTTGTGTGTGCTCGCGTCAGCGTCGAAATCTAGAATCAGCAACGCGAAACCCATCTCGTCCCGAGTCACCTGCGCCCTGGGAATGTCCATCTGGGACACGGGGGGTTCCTTCGTTCCAGTCTCCCAACAGACACGACTTGGCGCAACGTTCACGCACATCCGGCCACCTTGCATTCTTCTTCACCACGTTCTAATTTCAGAGTCACTCTCTGTACGACCTGGGACCACACACACACACATCAAAAATCAACAACATTGCTTCCCCTGGCTGCTCAAACGTCCAGAGGCAACAAAGACATGGCCAGCTTCCCGTCCTCTGGACAAGTCGACCCTGGACTCATCCAGCGGCGGGCAGGGCAGCCGGTCCCAGGATACCCACCGTGGCTCTCGCCCATAGTGGACGGCATCTCCACAGGGCGTCGTCTGGTCCAAGGTCGAGCCCGCCTGCGCCCCAATCGAAACTGTCCACTGAGAAAAGTTCGAAAAGTCACCCGCTGACCATGGCCACCGACCCCCCAGGCGTCCAGCCTCAGGCGGGCCAGACCCGGGGCATGGGCGGTCCCGAGAGCAGGTACCTTCTCGATTTCGTCAAGTACCTTTGCCAGGAACCGGATGCGTGAACCGGGAAGAGAGGCCCAGCGAGATACCTGGACCTTACCGGACCATATTGCGTCTTTGGCTACCAACACAACAAGTCTACAGTGCGCCTCGACTCGCCCTAAAAGCCTTTGACCTCTTCCCTCCCCCGAGAGTCCAGTGTCATTGTCTCCCAAGACCAGCCCCACCTCCCAGACCACGAGATGCTGCAAGCTCTGCATGGAAAGGGCACCGGCCTGCAGCTGGCCAGACGACGGTGCCTCGTCCGTTTGGATCTCGATACAACATTTCCCACACAAACACATGCCCAAGAGAGGGAGCCGTTTTAGACAACCCTGCCAATGGACCATCGTGATCCCTCGCAATACTCTCTCACAGTCTCTCTGTTCAGTCTGTGGTTCATATACTAGCTTACCCTGTATTGCACCACACTGTTATTCTCTGGAATACGTACTCATCTCTCACCGCAACAACTAGAGACATGATCCATTTAATTGGATTTTCCGGCTTCTCGGACTGTGACTGCGGGCGCTTGTCCAGGAGCATCACTTGGATCTAAACGGCACCGCCTCTCGGGCTTCCATCTCTGGCAACTCGGAAGCATCTGGACGGGCGCCGGAGCGCATGCGGGCATGCTCGAGGGATTTTCTCGGGGCGGCATTTCTCAATTGCCTTGGTCCTCGGGCCATGAACAAATGCCTCTCCTACAATCGCTTAAACATTGAGAGCTGGCTTGTGTCGGACGCTGTCTCCGACGGCCTCTGACGGCCGCTGTCACGGTCTTGGCTCCCTCCCACCGTTCGCGCTCAGCCCGGCTCTTTTTTTCAGACGGCCAGAACGCTCCCTTTTCCGTCAGAATTACGGATGTCTTTCAATTGACGACATCCCAAGTGGAGGTCCTTCCGTCAGACTGTCACAGAGAATTGGAACCAGCGTAGACGGCTCCGTTATCCAGCAATGCACTGTCATTATTAACCGTCAACTGGAGACGGGAAGAGCCCCATTGTTTGACGATCGATCCACGAGTGTCCCTGGAAAATGCTCCAGTACCTGGCTGGCTTTCTTCGGATGATGACAGTTGCTGGAACGCCCTGGGCGAGAGGCGGGACCGGGAAACCGATCGTCTCAAAACAAGCTCCAAGTAAAGGTGATTCCCGAGGTTTCTTCGAAGATTCGAAAAAAAAAAAGTTGAGCTGGCCCGGCCGGAAAAATCCTACTCCTTGTGCCAGCTTCGCGACTGAGGTTCTTCTGGATAAGCAAACCCTTCCTTCATCTCGCAGGACCCTTGTGGGGAGGAAAACGGGGAAACACATCGTCACGGTCGATCAGGGCCAGAAGCTCCGTTCACCTTTCTTGCATCTTCACTGTGCCGTTCGTTTCGTCCAGAGCTGGACCACGGCTTTTTTTTAGCAGCTCCATCTTCCCACGGCGCTGCTGCTGGATGACGCCATGTAGTGCGTTGCCGTCCTCAACTTCTTGGTCTCTACCCATTGAACTTAGGACCAGGTTCATTGCCAGTAATGCGATGGGTGGTGATATAAATGCGCTCGACTTTTGACAAACACTATTTGCCATAACCTAATTGCCAATTACGCCAGCTCTTTCACTTCTTGGCGTCATACGGATGGATGCTGCTATCTCCCATCAACCGAACGCCATCGTCCCCAGAAAATGGAAGGCCAGAGAGAGTCTGTACTCGGTAGCACGGCAGGTATCCACAAAGCTAACCATTCATCATGTTACACTCCCCGCGCAGGGAAAAAAAAAAATGACGAGGCATACGTCAATATCCGGGGTTTCACAGGATACGTTCAGAAGCAAGAAGAAGGAAAAAAAAAAAACTTGAGTATTCACTCACACTAGGTAGTTCGCGACTAGAAACATGAGGGGCAGATTCCGGCCATGCCCCCCTCCCGCTCCAAGCCTCCATCATAAACTATCTAGCTCGTCCAATTGGGCCAAACCCCCCAAACGGCGGTCATGGTTTCATGGTCACGCTTCACAATGTGCGTGATGTCCCTCTGCATGAGAAGTAGCTCTTTTGCTGCTCACCTTAGCTCCGAGGCCTGCGAGCTATTACCTGGCTGGCTCCCCCTCCTCCCGCCA